AAAAATGTACTTCAAATGAACATATAAGAAACTTTGAGTCAATTTTACTTAAAATATAGCGTTTATGTAGTGGTTATGGTGCCAGGAGTGCCCCCTTAGACTGGTTTGATTTCTTACCTGGGGTTTGTAAGTAGTGGAGGCAGGACGTAATGCAGGTGAGAAGCCAAAATAGGCATCTGCATGTTAACGCTACAAATATGCACTGCAATCTCATAGCCCTCCATCCTCCTTGGCTGCTAAATCAGAGCACTGTAGTTTGTTAACTTGACCGGTGTATAGTTGCCATATGGGCAGTCGGAACCTAGGACAAAACCCCCACATACCTAACCCAATAACACACTGACACTAGGGTATATGGGTTAAATTGTCCACAGCTTTTATTAACCATTATATAAATAAATATAATAAGTTTATCATTAGTAATAACAATCATAACAATATAATAATAATTTAACATATAAATATGGGTCATTGCCCCCATACTCCGCCCTCGCATCCGCATCCTTCTTTTAATATAACGGGCAATGACCCCCAACATACTAACACATATATATATATATATCTTTAACAATTTGCAACCTTACTCCAACATAACAATTTAGGTGCCAACCATAAATAACCACGGCAGGGGTATACCCGGATACCTCTACCCCACCAGGTTCTGAGCCACCTCCAGGACTCGAAACCTACCAACCACCAGTGACCACAATTTCCATGTCCATGACGTTCCTCAGGGGAGCCTATTTCCTCTTCCTCGGCTCCCTATCCCGCCACTGTGACAAAACGGGATACCATCACTTATCTCAAAAACCCAGGGAGGGTGGGTGGGACAAACTCAGCCAGGTAAGAAATTAAATGTGCTCTATCCAAAATGGCTGCCTACTTAAGTAGACCAGCCCCTTTCACCCACAATCCTCCAGTCCTGGCTGGCTCCTCCTAAGCCCGCCTCCTAACCCCTGTCAAGGCCCTCCTCCGCTAAGCTGTGCTTTGGCTCCTTGGGGCTACATGACCGGTGTATAGTCGCCATATGGGCAGTCGGAACCTAGGACAAAACCCCCACATACCTAACCCAATAACACAATGACACTAGGGTATATGGGAAAAATTGTCCACAGCTTTTATTAACCATTATATAAATAAATATAATAAGTTTATCATTATTAATAACAATCATAACAATATAATAATAATTTAACATATAAATATGGGTCATTGCCCCCATACTCCGCCCTCGCATCCGCATCCTTCTTTTAATATAACGGGCAATGACCCCCAACATACTAACACATATATATATATATCTTTAACAATTTGCAACCTTACTCCAACATAACAATTTAAGTGCCAACCATAAATAACCACGGCAGGGGTATACCCGGATACCCCTACCCCTCCAGGTTCTGAGCCACCTAAAGGACTCGAAACCTACCAACCACCAGTGACCACAATTTCCATGTCCATGACATTCCTCAGGGGAGCCTATTTCCTCTTCCTCGGCTCCCTATCCCGCCACGGGCTCAGACCTTGACCCCTTAAGCTGTCTGAGCTCCCCCACACCGGAGAAAGAGTGCCCTTTGCATCCCCTCCTGTAACCCCAGGTTCAGCAGGTCCCAACCTACTGCCGACAGGTGAACGCCGTCCGGGTGATAATACCCTGGCAAACCACCTTCCAATTCCCCGTGCCTTACCACTACCCCTCCCAACTTCCTCACGAAGCTCGCCATCAGGCTGTTAACTTTACCTCTACATCTGTCCAAGGCCGCAGGGTCCCGTGCGTGTCTCCAGTGTCGCCGCGGGACCATCTCCGACCACACCAACATTACCCCGGGAAGCAGATCAACCAGCCTGTTAAGGTCCTGCTTCATCCACTTGACTAGCCTCCGTTGTGGTATGAGGCCCAAGTCGTTGCCCCCTGCATGCAGTACCAACATGTCGGGCCTCACCCAGCCTGCCACCATACGAAACACCGCCTCGCATATGTCCCTCCAGCAATATCCCCTGTACCCGAGCCATCGCACCGCTAACTGGTCCGTTGGAAAGCCCAGCTGCTGGCCTTCCGCTCGAGCTGCAGCCCTCCTGGCGGCCCAGAAGACAAAGGAATGGCCCACGATCCATGCGACACGACCTGGGGAAGGAGGAAAGACAGAGTATAAATACCTCCCGTGCCCACCGGAGTCCCCCACGGGCCCTGGCTAGCGATCCAATAAACCCAAGCGAATGTACGAGCGAAACCGGACAGACTCCCATCTCCCGATCCTCTTGACCAGCTCGTCCCCAAGCCCCAGGCGTGCAGCCTCCGTGGCCTCCCCAATGCGAAATGAGTGGGTGCCATAGGTGCTCGCACATAACCCCAACCTTCCTAAGCCCAACCGGAAAACTTTATTAAATTGGAAGCGGGAGAGCGACGAGCCGTCCGCATGCACCAAGAACGACCCGTCCACCGCCGGCCTCTGCTCCAAGTAGTGCGTTACCGCATCCACTGGACACAAGGTTGAACCTGGTAGGGGGCCCAGGGTCACGTCCCTGCCTGCCCCCTGGACGTCAGTCTTGGACCTGGCCAGGTGTACCACCAACTTCCCACCGAGTGTGCGAACCCCCAATGGCTGTATGCCCCCTGACGCCAACCGCGTGGCACTTACCAATTCCCCAATCCTAAAGGCCCCGAAAAAGGCCAGAAGGAATGCCGCCCTGAACAGAGACACCTCAAACCCATTGAAGCAGATCTCAGGTAAGGCTTGGACTAGACCCCCCAGCACCCGTACCGACACCGGGCATCTTGCATCTGGCACCCTACGGCCCCTCCGATAGCCCTTTAGAGCCTGCCTGATAACAAAAGCCTTGGTAAGGTCTTCCCCCCCCCCCCGTGGAGCTTGAACCAAAAGGCCATTGCAGCCATGGTCCTGTCCACCACTGCCGGAGACGCGCCGCCCGCCAACAAGTGGAAGGTGAACCACAGGAAGGTTTCCAGCGGTGGCTCCCCCGTTGCTCGCCTACCCAACCCTTCCCAGGAACGCTCCCATGCACCCCAGACCTTATTGTAGGCGGCCCAGGTGGCCGGCGCGAGTGATGCCTTCACGAGTCCCCCAAGAAGGACGCTCCTAACTGCCACATCTCGTTCGGGCACGCCTGGCCCACGTCCAGCGCCTCCGGGGCCACCGTCCGAAACCTAGACCACTGAAAACGAGACAGAGCGTCAGCCACCTCATTCAAGTACCCCGGCACATGGCGCGCGAGAAAGACCACGTTAAGGGACATGCACAGCAAGACAAATCGTCGCAATAATGTCACCACTGGCCTTGACGCCGCCGACAGGTTGTTAACCGCATGCACCACGGACATGTTGTCCGAGAAAAAGACCACTTTTCGGTCCCGCAAGCTATCCCCCCACAGGGCCAACGCTACCACCAACGGGAACAATTCCAGGAAAGCCAAGTTACGCATGAAGGGGCTCCGCCCCCACGCCACCGGCCACTGTTCCGCGCACCATCTCCCACCGAAGTAGGCCCCAAACCCCACGCTACCAGACGCGTCAGTGAACAGCTCCAATTCGGCCGCTGACACGCCTTCCTGCCGGAAGAACACCGTCCCGTTGAAATCCCGCAAGAAGGTGTCCCATACTACCAGGTCAGCCCGCATGGACGAGGATACCCGTATGAAATGGTGCGGGGACCGCGCCCCTGCAGTAGCTGCTGACAGGCTGCGGCTAAACACCCTACCCATCGGTATTACCCAGCAGGCGAAGTTGAGCACCCCGATCAGCGATTGCAGCCGCTGAAGCGTCACCATGCGCGCCTGCTGCTCCGCGCCCACTGCAGACCGCAGTCCCTCCAGTTTGGACAGTGGCAGTCGGCATTCCCCGAGCACCGAATCTATTTCCAACCCCAAGAAGCTGAGGCACCCGGTCGGGCCCTCCGTCTTATCCGCCGCTAGCGGCACCCCGAATTGGCCCGCCACCCATTCAATGGTCCTCAGCAGGTGCAGGCAAGCCGGGGAGTTGGCCGGCCCTACACAGAAGAAATCATCCAAGTAGTGTACCACCGCTCTGTCCCCCGCTTCCACCCGCACCACCCATTCAAGAAAAGAACTAAACTTTTCGAAGTAGGAGCAGGAAATGGAACATCCCATTGGGAGGCACAAGTCCACGTAATAGCCCCCCTCGAAAAAACACCCTAGCAGGTGGTTACACGCCGGGTGGACAGGGAGCAGACGAAAAGCCACTTCGATATCAACCTTTGCCATAAGAGCCCCGCGCCCGGCCCTCTTTACCAGCTCCGCCTGGTCGAATGATGCATAAGAGACCAAGCACAGCTCCTTATCGATGTCATCATTCACCGACCCGCCCTTAGGGTAGGATAGGTGGTGAATGAGCCTAAACTTCCCCGGCTCCTTCTTAGGGACCACCCCGAGAGGGGAAACCCGGAGGCCCTCTATTGGTGGTGCCTGAAACGGTCCTGCCATTCTACCCAACATAACTTCCTTACCCAGCTTGTCCCGCACCACTTCTGGAAATTCCACCACCGATTTTAGATTACGCGGGCATCCCGTACCGTCCCTGCCCCGGAACGGGATAAAGAACCCCTGCCCGAACCCAGCCCGGAGGAGCTCGGGGTCCGCCCTATTACCGTAGCGGCTTAGCCAGGGCTCCATCGCATCTAGCTTCACCGGGGTGAGCCCCCGGGGCAGCGGAAGCCCCCCCGCCTCCGACCGCGGAAGAAGCTCCTGCTCCCCCTGTAACCGCTGGTGGTTCCCTTATTTACGTCTTAAAGCATAGAACTTAGTAGGGCTAACCATACAGATATCTTAGCCATAATTTTATATAGTGTAAGAGATCCTCTATTTAACATATATAAATAATTGAGAATACAATATAAAATAAGGATTGTCTTGGAAGCAAGATTTTTTTTTGGATATTTATTATATAAAAATATAAAATCCATTATAGCAGAGTTTATAAGATTAAATTACATGCTTGCAAATATCATTAATAGGTTAACATACCCTTCTGAACATGTCATCATGTCAGCCTCTCTGTCATTTTAAGATGGAGCAGCATCTGTCTCCAAGTCTCTCCTCTGTGTCTTAACATTTTAAAAGTACACCTATTTATACCAGGTGTCGTCATTTTAGGTTACTGTAGTTCAAATATGAAAAAGTAACACCTTTTACTTTATTCAATTTAGGACCTCCCTTAATTTGGCAAACATACAAGGCCATAACTAAAGGGTGTATACGTCATGGAAATTTTCCTGACTTAGTTCAAGATGGCATCTTAAAGTTTGAATAGGTTATCTGTTGTTTATACTAAGTCGTAAGTGTACAGTCGTGGGAGATTCCCGGATTTGGGGAAGTTCCATTAACTTGGGGTTACCACGGTATATTGTGTACTGCAAGAGTCGTAGTATAGCCTTGAAGCTTGTTTATGCATTATTGTTATTGTAATTCGTCTGGGACAAAATGGCGCAAACATATTATGCACTGAGGTTATTGCTTAAAGAAACAGTTATGAAAAACAATATGTTCCATTTCTAACACCTTGTCAATTTGCAATATCTCTTAAAGACAAAGTACACAGTTTAAGAAATACAACATTTCATTCTAAAACTTGTAATATTTGCATTTGCCCATAACACCCCTGACTTACCTTTCTTGAAACAGCGCTGCAACCCGTGCGCCCCCCCAGAGCCCGAGCATTCGTGCTTAAATCAGCAGGAAGCACCCCATTTGCATTGGCCTTCATTGAAAAGCCAGCATAGTCCCTTTTGTGAGGCGGCCGACGAGGCGGACTGACCTTTTGTGCCAGCCGCGTGCTGAAAGGGTTGCGCCTTTTGCGCCATCATCAGCTTCATCCAGAGAGGCAGGTCCATCTGGTCCCACCTCATACCCGGATTAGCCGCCAGCCGCTGCCGGAACTGTTCGTCATACCGCCACCATGCCAGCCCGCCATAAGTGCAGTATGCCTCCCAAATCCCATCCAAGTAGCAAAACAGGGAAGAGCACATGCCCGGCGACTTCTTCCCTATCACGCTGGCCAAGACGCCAAACGCCCTCAGCCAGTTCCCAAAGGATTTTGGTATCTTGCGATACCGCTTCCGCTTCTCCTCTTCTTCCTTCTTCTCATCTTTTTTATCCTCCTCCTTGAGGTCAATAAAGTCCTCCAAAGGAAGGAGGGAGAAGATCTCACAAAACTCCCCCTTCCAGATTTTTTCTTTCACCTCCTGTTTGAGGTGGACCCCGAGTGGGCCAGCAAACGATACGTACGCGTGCTGCCTTGCCGCGTCTGAAACCCCCCTGGTTAGTTCTGCCCGCTCGCTCCCTGCGTCCCCCGCGCCGGGTGCGGTCCCCGCCTCCTCGCTGCTTGCCGACACCGCCGAGGTCCCCACACCGGGCCCCCCTGCTGCCGCCCCCTGCGCCCACACCTGCCCTACGCTGTCCCCTGTACCACCCCCCGCCCCCAGTGAGTGGAGTAGTGATTGTAGTGTTTGCACTAGCACGCTGGAATACAGTGATTCGCTGGACTCACCGGCCAAGCCCCTCGATCCAGAAGCGCCTGGGGCTGCACTGGGAACCGCTGTGCTTCCAGGATGAGCAACGTCAACTGAAGTCCCGCCAACCGGGGAGCCCACCCGGTTCCTCACGAACACTGATGAGGAGTGGCTCCGAGATCTGAAACGAGGAGAAGAAGTCCTGGACAGGGTGTACTGTTCCTCACCCACCCTCCCGTCCCGACCCAGGGAGCGGCTGCCAGCCGCCAAGGCCTCCCGCTGCCTGCTGTTCCCCCGCTGCCATCCTGAGGCCCCGCCCTGCGGGCTACGACTCCTACGATTCCTAGACTTGAAGCCTGCCCCCGTCGACCATGCCTGGGGGACCCTGACCTACCCCCTGCTGAACTACCGGACGAAGACCTACGGCGCCGCCGCCTCTCAGGATGCCCACCTGCCCTAGCGTCCCTAACCGGGGAGAGGCTATTGCCGCTAGACCTGGAACCCGACCTATCACTGGACCTGACCCGCCTAAGCCTCCCCCTCCCGGCCCCTGAGCTACCGCGGGCCCCTCCATCCTCACCTCCACTGAGCCCAGAAAAACTGCTCCTACGCCCCTCTCCCCTTACCTCTGTCGCCCCCTGCCCTACCATCCTCCCAGAACCCCCGGGCCTGCCTGAATACAATGCCTGCTCCCCACTTACCCCCCCTGGCTCCCCCTCTCTGGCCTCCCGGCTACCGGACCCCCGTGCAGCGTCAGCCTGCCCCCCAACCTCCCCCCTCTGCCTGCGGCTAACTGGCCCCCCATGTGGCCCTTCCTCTCCTGCCACTGGCCTCCTAGGGGAAACTCGCCCTCTCCTCCCCGCTACTGCCCGGGCACTGTCCCCCAGCTGCGTACCCCCCACATCCAACACACCAAGGGGGCCCCTAAACATTTTAGCTTGCTGAAGTGCTTTATGTGTGAAGAATGTGTCCTCTTTTTAGTTTTATAAAAATTGCAGATTTCATTAGAAATGGACACTTTTCTAAATGCACCTTGTTCCACCCCCCTGGCTGACAATCAGAAGATTAATCCTGCTACTTGCTGGTTGTTTAGCTCAGTGGAGCTAAACTCACAAGGCAGCAATTGCTCAGAGCACCTGACTTGCAAAGATTTCTCATTGAGCTTATGCTTAGCTATCATAGCATTGTTTGGATACATACTCATTCTCATATGTGCTCTTTGAACTTTAAAAACGTATAAAGTGGTTCCTGTAATTTTTGTCACGGCACGATCTCTCATCTCATCCTAAATCTAATTTTTCCTGTTTGTGTATGCAAGCATGCTTTTCAGGGGTCCACTTTTTTCTGTTTGTAAAAGTTTTATTGAAATTGTTTAGATATTACAGATATACAGTCAAACGAAACACAATTTACAATACTCAAACAGTAGTAAATGTAGATTGACACAGAATATTGCAGCAGTAAAAATAATCAATAATAATGTGTGAGTAAGAGAAAAGGGAGTGAACAGGGAACAAGATATCTGAAGGAAGGAAGGGTAGGGTGAATCACCAAATATCTTAGAGCCGATAAGAGATCACTTTCACTATAGAACTTAAAAAGAGACTAGGGTCCCCAAGGACCACAGCGTGTCTTAGAGGACTTAAACCCCATATAATTTTTAGTGGGATTTTTCATGGCAGGACCGAGAGTATAGGAACCGCTATAGAGTTCTATTTTCAAGTCAACATAGAATCGCTGCTATTAAATTTGGTTAGGTTTAATATTGGTTTGGTCAAATCACATGATAAAATGGATAACGGGAACACCTCTACCCTGGGCTCCGGCTGAATACCTGTAGCTGTAAATATTAGCTGGGCCACCACTCTTGAGAATGAAGCCACAGTGGGACGTGTCCACCATATATTGAGCATGGTGCCCAAGTTAGAGCGGCAACTCCAGCAATTATTACTGGATCTGGGAAACAATTATTCTAAATGCAAGGCACATCATGTGGACCCCTTATATATATTTTAATACTGAGACCAATGGACAGATTCTACTGCATGCCCTAAATCAGTATGCCAGGCATTGACAAATCCCAAATGCGGATTGGCCAACTCACAGCTTTCAAAACTGCATAATGATAACTCTTTCTTTGCTGGTGTGAGCTACAAACATATTTTTTCCAGGTGTGATTTAATCCAGTTGGCCATCCCCTTTAGAAGCCCCAGGGTTCACGGCCAAATTGACTAGGAGAGATTTTAACTTTTGTAGATAGGAGAGCAGAGAAGCTGACTGTAAATTGTATGAGTCTTACAAATCAAGGTCCAGAGGGTCCACTTATGGAGGAATAAACCTATCTGCAAAACCAGAGAGGATCCAAAGGAACTCATAACACATGTAGCATATTAGTACAGAAATTGCTCCACAGCAATAAGAGTTACCCAATAATAGCATATTGTTTCAGGATGTCCTTGAAGCCCAAGTACTTTCATACATTTACACTTGGGACTTTCTAGTTTTAGCCCTGTCCCCAACCTCCTTAGAAGAGGGGACTAGCAATACTATGGTAGACCTGGCATTAGTCCAGTTCAACTGTGCCTCCAACTTGGTCTCGGACATTACTGCTGCCGCACTGTAATATATAATCGTAATCACTATAATAACAGTGACTGTTTTGTTAGTTCTGATGCCTGGGCAAAACTCACAAAATTTCTTTGAAGTCAGTATGAATTCTGGGATAATGTATACCAGTCGCAGAGCTCAAATTTTCCGCTTGCCACTAGATATTGGTGAGTGAAAACATAGTTTTGGCAAGTAGAAATTCGTTCGTGGAGTGTATGTTATGAATTGCAGTGGAGAGTAACTTTCAAACCCTGGATATTAGAATAGGACTACAAATTTTAAAGCATCTCTTTCATCCCCCTTCCCCCAAAAGAATAGTTACATTGACTTGGTTGGAATTCCCCTAAAATTTCAACGCAGTAAGAAGATATAAAAAGACAAAGTAGGGACTAGTCACGATCTCACACACAGTCTTAGAGGTTTCTCTATACACGTCATGTTGCACTCCAGTGCGTGCGCAAATGAAGAAAAAGATGGTAGAATTGGTGAGAGACAACTTCAGGCAGTAAAGCTCTCCTTTCCTTGTGCCCCGCGTCCACTGCTCCCTAAGGGACAAAGTCAACTCTGGGGGCGTTTGCAAAATATTCCTAGACTTCAGAAGGTGAGAAAGCAGTTTTAAGCCCTGTATACCACAATATGTGAGGGCAAGGGAGAAATGTCTGTGCAGTAGTATTTATTCTGCCTACTAAATTAAACCCGGTATTACAAAACCATCACTTTCTTTACCAACAATTTACACTTTACTCAATAGAATATAAGCTTGTTTGAGCACGGTTCTTGTTAACCTTTGGTTCCTGTCAACATATGTATTAGTTTGTCTCATTTTCTGTCAAATCTCTTTTATAAAATTGTAAGGAACTGTGAGATACGTAAATGTCAATAATAATATTAATATAAATAACCCAGTAAGTGTCTATTTATGACACATTATGAGTCAAGTGCAGGGTTTAATCGATAGATAAACATTTTAAAATGTTTTAATCAGTAATTAGTTGTATTGGTTTGCAGATTAAATAAGAATAAAGGAACACTCCAGCCCAAATAAAAAAAGAAAAATTAATTCACTGTTTAATATATATACATTAATTAAAACACGCATTTAATTAAGTATCTAAAAAAAACTTGCAAAAGCTGCTGATATCTTGTCGGCAGCCTTTGTAATCCCTCCCCTTCTTCCCCACTCTTCCCACACTTTCTGTGACTGTC